CATGTGTTTCACCTCAGGAGGCGGCCTTTGCAAGGAAACAGCTCCTGGTGGCTGCCTTGGCCTTGTATGGCTGTGAAGAGCCTATGTGGGAATTTTTCATAAACTCACTYGCCTCTAAACGAGATCAGTCCCATCCCATTAATGCAGAAATGGGGTCTGGGAAATGATTGTCCAGACCAGCTTTTAAGGAAGGAGAAACTGTTCCTTGTTCCCTCCAATTTCTCCAGCCCTGCTCGTCAGACTGAACCTGTGTTGCGTTCCCCACTGTCTGGGGACAAATTGTGTGACAAATTGCTTGATTGCCCAGAGCCGCTGTTACCGAATGGCACTCGTGGTCTGGTTGGTCTTTGAAGGATCCTGACTGTGTTGGGCATGGAAGAGTCGCAACGTGGAGTGCCTGTGTGAGCTGCTCTGGGCACTGCGTCCCGGACATGCATGGGTGTCCCAAGAGGGACAGGAGGTTGTCCTCCTCGCTCTTCATATGGGGAATATCTTAAAGCTCCTGCTGAAACCTTGCTGCCGTGCTGTTTCTAGGCAAAGGTTGCTGAAGACAAGATGCTGGGCTGATAGAGAAATAAATTTGAGCGTTATTTCCATGTTCAGCCATTGAATCTGACACCAGGACTCCTGAAAAATCAAGATACAGGAAATTCTTGAGCTTTACTTTTAGTTCAGGGAATGTTCTTTGTGTAACAGGTAGCATAAGGGTAGCGTAACACTATGTTAGATTTAAGGGGCAAATTTTCATCTTGAAGGTAAGAGTGTATCAGAGAGATGGCAAAGCTAGCAAAGATTTATGTTTATTTCCATTTTAAAGTTTAAATTAAAAAAAAAAATCCAGTATAGGGGAGAGAAGTGGTCATCATGAAGTGCAGGAATAGAGAGAATTTGAAACCCACAGTGAAATTTCCGTGACTTGCAACTGATGACATTTTTTGGGTGTGGAAACGGGGGTAGGGAAGGAATTTTTACCAGATCTTCTTTTTTTTTTTTTTTTTTCCCTAAGCCAAAAAAGGCCGCTGTCCCTGGCGGAGTTACTGTTTGTTTGGCCAAAGAAACACGGAGTGAACAACTTGGACCCTGCTGCACCCGCAGCCAGGCAGCCCTTGCTGGAGGGAACGGGCTGAGGCCTGGGCACAACAGCCCCACTCGAGCAGCGTGGGGAGGGAGCTGCTGCTTCCAAGTGCATCGTTCCTCAAAATAAGCGAGTGGGAAACGCAGGGCAGAGCGGGGCAGCGCTCCCGGCCCAGGCGCAGGCAGCGCTATGTGATGCAAGAAAGAGTCTTTGGCAGTAGGTCCATGTTACCCTGTTCCTGAGTTCTTGTGGGAACTCTTCCAAAACAAACCCAGTCTAATGGTCTAAATGCCTCGTTTTGTGGTTCTTTACTTTCTGTGTAGCTGCCTCTGAATTAGTGAATTCCCCACTTCTATTAGAAGGGATTTGTTTAGAAGAGCAAAGAGTTCCCCTGAAGGTTAGGCAAGGCACTGCTGCACCTGGTCTCTGTGGCCCTATTTCTTTAAGTGAGCAGTAGAGGTAAGAGAAAGAAGTTTCTTGTCTATTTTTCTGCCTTAAGGAGTCATTTAAGTAGTCTGATTTTAATTCAAAATGCTGGTAGGAATCCCGACTGGGGCTTCTTTGGGGAGRAAGGATAGACTGCTCTAGACAGGGTGCTCAAAGAAAGGAAGAAAATCGGATACAGGAGCATGTCAATAAGAAAATGCAAGGACTGGGCTCTGGGCAGGAATGTTCCCTTCGGTGTCAGGATGTCTGTCCTTTCCTGCAGTGTCTGTGCAGCTTGTGCAACGAAARGTGGGTGTCTCTGCTTTCCTATGTGTGTTTCAGTGGAAAACATATAACCTGTGAGCAACAGCAGTTTTACGTTCTCCGAATTAATGTTTAATTATCCAGAGTGCTATTAGAGAAATACTCGGCTTACTGAAGATGTGACAATATTGAAAATGGTGACAACTTCTCAAATGGTTGGTCTTGCAGAGGGATCAGAGATGATGGATAGAATCTCAATGCAGAGAAACAGACTAATATTAGATGATGTAGAAAGGGAAATAGAGGCTTTTAATTACGTTCCATGCGCAAGTATAATCTAGGACTACACATAGCTGTCAATTCTCAGTTAATTTGATGTCAATATAAGGCTTGTAAAGCACCAAGAATTGATTTTTTCCCCCTTTTCTTGTACCACCAAACTGATTGTCATGATAATTATTTGTTCACTATCTTTTCTCACATTCAGCCATCACTTTAGGAAAATAGACTCTTTGACGATCAGCACAGTTTCTTCTGATATCTAACCTTTTTCATTGTTTTCATCTGTGCTTTTCTTTTTTTAAAATGCCTTGCTTTAGCATCTTGTACCTTTTTCAAGCAGTTACTTTAATTTCACTTCTCATGTTTTTCCTCACTTTCACTCTTTCACTTACATTAGCTAAAATCATTTGCAGTGGAGCATTTTGTGCTGACATTTCAATTTCATCACCCTGCTTTACCTGCTTTATACTATAGAGAATTAAATGAGCAATAAATGGTGTTGGTCATCGGGAGACATGCTGCCTGGCATTAGTGCTTCAGGCTCAAGGTTTTTAGCATGTTCTGCAAGTGAAATCTGCATCAGCTAATCTTGAAAAAACAACTCATGTAAGTGTCATATTTGGATGAACTCAAAGTAAGTGTGTATGTAAACTTGTCAAAATGTGTTTTACATTTTGTAGTGGCTGGGTGTATCATGCAGGTCAGAAAYATGCTGCATGGTCTGAACTTCGCTGATGGGTTCCTCTGACCTACAGTAATTCTAGGCTGTTAAAATATTTACTGAATTTTGAGGACATCAGCCTTTGTGCTTAAGAGTTGGGAGAGAAAATGGACAATTGCTTTTTTTTTTCTTTTGGGTGACTTAGTATGTAATTCGTGCAGCATGACTTTGAGTGGAGATGCGTGCCTCCTGCTGAGACAAGGTGAGTCAGGTGTCAAAACCGCTAAAAATATTTCACTGGAGGATTTCTTTGCTGTAAACCAGCAAATAAAATTTTCAAATAAAATCTTTCTGGAAATGCAGTAATACAGAGAAAACCTTTGGGAGAGGAAGATTCTTCAGTTTGAAAGATTTCTCCCATCTTCAGGTGGAATTGTGGATTAAAACAGTACAGTGTGACTGCCTCACCTCTTTGGCAGGGCCAGTTACGCAAACAGCTTAGTACTTGATTTCTRGTGTAAGAAACTTTAGTTTGAGTTTCTGGTTCAATGTTGGATTTGAGCTGTCTCCCACATCCTGGGTGAGTGTGCCAGCCGGCCGGCTGTTGGCTTCCTAGGGACAAAACACTGCACGTTGAGATGTTCCTTTCTTCAGATGTTCCTTCCCCCTCCYCCCCAATCATTTTAATAATTTCAACCATTTTTTTAATCAATAAAACTATTYTATTTTCACAAAACAGAAATTTGGATTCTGTATCATCTCAACATGGAAGTTTCCGATCTAATATCTGCCCTAATGTACACTACACAAGTATCCTACTTTTGACTGTTCCTTTGACTGTTAAGTATCTTCAGGGTAAAGAGTCAGAACAGCAGGAGGTCCCTGCAGGAATTTCAGCAGATGCTGACCGTGCAATTCATGCTGGAGGGGTAGAACAAGAAAATGCTCTCCTGTAGAGGGTGCAGGTGACTTACTGGAGGATAAGCTGACAGAAGAAGGTACATGGTGCTATCATTGTCATGTGTGTTGTGTGGGGYTTTTTTTCCCCCTCTCTTTTAATTTTTCCTATAAAGTGCATAATACTTTTTGATATGAAGCATGATTTGCTAAGGAGACTGCAAACACCATTTGAAGGAGTTTGTGAGAAGAGGTCGGTCTGTTGGCTACATCATGAAGTAGTAAGTGGTTCCTCCAAAGTGCTGAGTCAACTTCCATTGACCTTGCAAGGCTGGAGTATCTAGGCCTTACATACTGTTATTGTGCAGCATGCCTCTTTTCAGCTCCTGTTCACTTGGATAGGAGCGAGAGCCGGCCCCAGTTATACCAGAGCTRTTTACATGGCCCTGCATATATGTGTTAAAGTAGTGCGTGCTGCAGAGCCATTTTCAGTGCTTCTGCACTGCTATCTAGACACATTAACTTCATCTCAGCTTTCTCTTTTTATTGTGTCTCCTAAGACCTGTGTTCTTTTGGCTTGGGAACTCCTGGGAAGTCATATCCATCATAGCTGTGTAGTCTCTGTTTGTGGGAGTCACCTTCCCATCATGAACCCCATCATGAATGGTCTCCCTCCTTTTGGACTAGTCCAGTCCCCATCCTTTTAGATTATTCGTAAGCCCTCAACTCTTCCTTTCTTCTTGACATGCATGATGTGCTCAGCATCTCCTGGATGACATCTGCAAGCAGGCAGCCATCCCACCATTATAGATCTTGCTTATGAGCACACGTAGCCTTTGGGAAAGGAAGTTTTATTTTCTTGTGGTGGCTATGGTCAATCAGCTAAATCTTTGTCTAATGTAAATGAACTTAGTGGAAGACTCAGACAACTAATAGAAGAAAATCTAATTGTGGTTTTGAATGTTCAGTCTTGCAGTATAGCACTTCTGGAGCTCCAGAGAATGTTGCTTTCCAGCCGAGGTGCTGAAGCTTGGAAGTATTAACTTGTACCTGGTTTGTATAGGGGCAGCACTTGCAAAGAGCTACAGTACAAGTAATTTCCCTTCCCCATTCCTTATAAGACATATTCTTAATGAAATTGTGCTCTTATTTGCAAGTAGACTTGTCTCAATTATCAAATACAAAACTAATTCAGAACTGCTCCCTATTAAGCTATAAATCTCCCAGCATACACTGAAGAACTGCCATGTCTCTCAGACCAGAGATCAGAGCAGCTCTTTACCATTTAGCCCACTGTCCTGCCTCCAAAAGGAGATATACCCAGATGCCTAGGAAAGATTATTAAGAACAGAAGAGCACTTGCTCAGCTTCCAGCTGTTATTAGCTCAGAGACTTCCAGAGGTGTGTATGGTTTCTGTGTATCTAGTAACAGGTTCTGCCCTGGAAACTTGAGCAGTTGTCTCTTGGGCCTCTGTGAACTGCTTTGGTAAGAACTTCCACAGTTCTACTGAATTTATRGGTGAAAAATAATTTCTTTCTTAWAT